TGGGGTCCGGCGGGATGACCCCAGGGGTCCCAAGAGACAATCCGTGGGGTGGGATGGATGACCCACGGCTCCCCCCAGCTCTAGGCTTCTCCAACCTGAATGCCAGAAAGTGTGGGGCAGACAGAGGGAGGCGCTCGGACCCCTAACTCTGACCCCCAACCTGAAGGCCGAAGCTGTGACCCCTAACCAACCCCAGACACCAAAGGCCTGACCCTAAGCCCCAGCAGAGGCCTGACCCTGACCCCCAACTCGAAGGCCTGACCCCTGACCCCCAACTCGAAGGCCTGACCCCTAACCCTAACACAAACCCCTGACCCCTTACCTCTAGCTCTAACCCCCAACCCAAACCTCACCCCCTATGCCTGACCCCTAACCCCCAACTCGAAGGCCTGACCCCTGACCCCCAACTCGAAGGCCTGACCCCTGACCCCCAACTCGAAGGCCTGACCCCTAACCCCCAACTCGAAGGCCTGACCCCTGACCCCCAACTCGGCCTAACCCCCAACCTCTAACCCGAACACAAACCCCTGACCCCCAACCCCTGACCCCTAACTCCAGCCCCAATGCCAGGCCTCTAACCCTAATCCTAACACAAACCCCAGACCCCCAACCCCTGACCCCTAACCCTGACCTCTAACTCGAACCCCCAACCCAACGCTAACCCCTAACCTCAACCTCTGACCCCCAACCCCAAGGCCTGACCCCCAATGCCTAACCTCTAACCCGAACCCCTGACCCCTAACTCTTACCTCTATCTCTAACCCCCAACCCCAATCGAAGGACTGACCCCTAACCCAGACCCCTAACCCTAATGTCTGACCCCTAACCCCCAGCTCGAAGGGCTAACCCTAACCTCCTGACCCCCAGCCCTCAGGCCTGACCTCTAACCCAAGCCCCTGACCCCAAACCCCTGACCCCTAACCCCCAATGCCGGACCTCTAACCCTGACCTCTAACTCGAGCCCCCCACCCCGAACACAAACCCCCACCCTAATCCCTGACCCCAGCCCTAACACAGACCCCCACCCTAATCCCTGACCCTAACCCTAACACAAGCCCCCACCCTAATCCCTGACCCTAACCTAACACAAACCCCCACCCTAATCCCTGACCCCCAGCCTAACACAAGCCCCCACCCTAATCCCTGACCCCTAACCTAGCACAAACCCCACCCTAATCCCTGACCCTAACCTAACACATAACCCCCACCCTAATCCCTAACCCTAACCCTAACACAAACCCCCACCCTAATCCCTGACCCCCAACCCTAACACAAAGCCCTGACCTCTAACCCTAACCTCTACCTCTAACCCCCCACCCTAATCCCTGACCCCTAACCTAACACAGACCCCCACCCTAATCCTGACCCCTAACCTAGCACAAACCCCCACCCTAGTCCCTGACCCTAGCCTAACACAGAGCCCCACCCCTAATCCCTGACCCCAACCCTAACACAGACCCCCACCCTAATCCCTGACCCTAACCCTAACACAAACCCCCCACCCTAATCCCTGACCCCAAACCCTAACACAAACCCCACCCTAATCCCTGACCCCCAACCCTAACACAGACCCCCACCTAATCCCTGACCCTAACCCTAACACAGACCCCCACCCTTATCCCTGACCCCCAACCCTAACACAAGCCCCCACCCTAATCCCTGACCCCCAGCCCTAACACAAGCCCTAACGCCTGACCTCTAGCCTAACCCAAACCCCTAACCCCTAATGTCTGACCCCTAACCCCCAGCTCGAAGGGCTAACCCTAACCTCTGACCCCCAACCCTCAGGCCTGACCTCTCACCCAAACCCCTGACCCCAAACCCCTGACCCCTAACCCCCAATGCCGGACCTCTAACCCTGACCTCCTAACTCAGACCCCCAGCCCTAACACAAGCCCCCACCCTAATCCCTGACCCCCAGCCTAACACTAAGCCCCCACCTAATCCCTGACCCCTTAACCTAACCAAACCCCCCCCACCCTAATCCCTGACCCCCAGCCTAACACAAGCCCCCACCTAATCCCTGACCCCTAGCCTAACACAAGCCCCCACCCTAATCCTGACCCTAACCTAGCACAAGCCCCACCCCTAATCCCTGACCCCTAACCTAACACAGAGCCCCCACCCTAATCCTGACCCTAGCCTAACACAGACCCCACCCCTAATCCCTGACCCCCAGCCTAACACAAACCCCTGACCTCTACCCCTGGCCTCTACCTCTAACCCCCCACCCTAATCCCTGACCCTAACCTAACACAGACCCCCACCCTGATCCCTGACCCTAACCCTAGCACAGACCCCACCTAATCCCTGACCCTAGCCTAACACAGACCCCACCCTAATCCCTGACCCCTAGCCCTAGCACAGACCCCCACCCTGATCCCTGACCCTAGCCTAACACAGACCCCCACCCTAATCCCTGACCCCAGCCTAACACAGGCCCCCACCCTAATCCCTGACCCCAGCCTAACTCAAGCCCCACCCTAATCCCTGACCCTAGCCTAACACAGACCCCACCCTAATCCCTGACCCCCACCCCGAACACAAACCCCCACCCTAATCCCTGACCCCCAGCCTAACACAAGCCCCTAGCGCCTGACCTCTAGCCTAACCCCAGACCCCTAGCCCCTAATGTCCGACCCCTGACCCCCAGCTCGAAGGGCTAGCCCCTAACCTCTGACCCCAGCCCTCAGGCCTGACCTCTAACCCCAGACCCCTGACCCCAAGCCCTGACCCTAACCCCAGTGCCGGACCTCTAACCCTGACCTCCTGCACCAGACCCCCAGCCTAACACAAGCCCCCACCCTAGTCCCTGACCCCAGCCTAACACAGGCCCCACCCTAATCCCTGACCCTAACCTAACACAAGCCCCCCACCCTAATCCCTGACCCTAACCTAACACAGACCCCACCCTAATCCCTGACCCCTAGCCCGAACACAGACCCCACCCTAATCCCTGACCCCTAACCTAACACAAACCCCCACCCTAATCCTGACCCTAACCTAACACAGACCCCACCCTAATCCTGACCCTAACCCTAACACCAGACCCCCACCTAATCCCTGACCCCCAGCCTAACACAGAACCCCTGACCTCTAACCTAACCTCTACCTCAACCCCCACCCTAATCCTGACCCCTAACCTAGCACAAACCCCACCCTAATCCTGACCCCTAACCTAGCACAGACCCCACCTAATCCTGACCCTAACCTAGCACAGACCCCACCCTAATCCCTGACCCCAGCCTAACACAGGCCCCACCTAATCCCTGACCCCTAGCCCTAGCACAGACCCCCACCCTAATCCTGACCCCAGCCTAACACAGACCCCCACCCTAATCCCTGACCCCAGCCCTAACACAAGCCCCACCCTAATCCCTGACCCCTAACCTCTGAGCCCCACCCGAATCCCTGACCCCCAGCCTAACACAGAGCCCCACCCTAATCCCTGACCCCCAGCCTAACACAAGCCCCTAACGCCTGACCTCTAGCCTAACCTCTACCTCCTAACCCCACCCTAATCCCTGACCCTAGCCTAACACAAGCCCCACCCTAATCCCTGACCCCTAACCCTAACACAGACCCCCACCCTAATCCCTGACCCCAGCCCTAACACAAGACCCCACCCCCTAATCCCTGACCCCGACCCCTAACACAAACCCCCCACCCTACTCCCTGACCCCTAACCTAACACAGACCCCCACCCTAATCCCTGACCCCTAACCCTAACACAGGCCCCCACCCTAATCCCTGACCCCTAACCCTAGCACCAGACCCCCACCCTAGATCCTGACCCCAGCCCTAACACAGGCCCCCACCTAATCCCTGACCCTAGCCTAGCACAGGCCCCACCTGATCCCTGACCCCCAGCCTAACACCGGCCCCACCCTAATCCCTGACCCCAGCCTAACACAGACCCCCACCCTAATCCTGACCCTAGCCTAACACAAGCCCCACCCTAATCCCTGAGCCCTAACCCTAGCACAGACCCCCACCCTAATCCTGACCCTAGCCCTAACACAGACCCCACCCTAATCCCTGACCCCAGCCCTAACACAACCCCCACCTAATCCTGACCCTAGCCTAACACAGCCCCACCTAATCCCTGACCCTAGCCTAACACAGAGCCCCCACCCCTAGTCCCTGACCCTAGCCTAACACAAGCCCCACCTAATCCCTGACCCCCAGCCTAACACAGAGCCCCCACCCTAATCCCTGACCCCTAGCCTAACACAGAGCCCTAACGCCTGACCTCTAACCTAACCTCTACCTCTAACCCCACACCTGATCCCTGACCCCCAGCCCTAACACAGACCCCACCCTAATCCCTGACCCTAACCCTAACACAGCCCCACCCTGATCCTGACCCTAGCCCTAGCACAGACCCCACCCTAATCCCTGACCCCTAGCCTAGCACAGCCCCCACCCTGATCCCTGACCCCAGCCCTAGCACAGACCCCCACCCTAATCCCTGACCCCTAATCCTAACCCAAACCCCACCCTAATCCCTGACCCCCAGCCTAACACAAAGCCCTACCGCCTGACCTCTACCCCTAACCTCTACCTCTAACCCCCCACCCTAATCCCTGACCCCTAACCCTAACACAAACCCCTAACCCCTAACCTCTAACCCCCAATGCCTGACCCCTAACACAAACCCCTAACCCCACACGCCTGACCTCTAACCCTAACACAGACCCTAACCCCATATGCCTGACCTCTAACCCCAATGCCTGACCTCTAACCCAAACCCTAATCCCTGACCCCTAACCCTAACACAAGCCCCTAACCCCCAAGGCCTGACCTCTAACCCCCAATGCCTGACCTCTAACCCCCAACCCTAAGGCCTGACCTCTAGCCTAACACAGAGCCCTAACCCCTAACCTTTACCTAACCCTAACCCTAACCCTAACCCAAACCCCTGACCCCTAAGGCCTGACCTCTAACTCCAACCCCCAACCCTAAGGCCTAACCTCTAACCCTAACACCAACCCCTGACCCCTAACTCCAACCCCAATGCCGGGCCCCTAACCCTAACCCTAACCCCTAACCCCCAATGCCTGACCCCTAACCCTTGCCTCTAACTCTGACCTTCGACCCTAAGGCCTAATCTCTAACCCTAACACAAACCCCTAACCCCAATGCCTGACCTCTAACCCGGACACAAACCCCAACCCCCAATGCCTTACCCCTAACACAGACCCCTAACCCCAATGCCTGACCTCTAACCCGGACACAAACCCCTAACCCCCAATGCCTGACCTCTAACCCGGACACAAACCCCTACCCCCCACTGCCTGACCACTAACCCGGACACAAACCCCTAACCCCCAATGCCTGACCTCTAACCCGGACACAAACCCCTTACCCCCAATGCCTGACCACTAACCCTTACACAAACCCCTAACCCCCAATGCCTGACCCCTAACCCTAACACAAACCCCTAACCCCCAATGCCTGACCTCTAACCCGGACACAAACCCCTAACCCCCAATACCTGACCTCTAACACAAACCCCTAACCCCCAATGCCTGACCTCTAACCCGGACACAAACCCCTAACCCCCAATACCTGACCTCTAACACAAACCCCTAACCCCAATGCCTGACCTCTAACCCGGACACAAACCCCTAACCCCCAATGCCTGACCCCTAACACAAACCCCTAACCCCCAATGCCTGACCTCTAACACAAACCCCTAACCCCCAATGCCTGACCTCTAACCCAGACACAAACCCCTAACCCCAATGCCTGACCTCTAACCCGGACACAAACCCCTAACCCCCAATGCCTGACCCCTAACACAAACCCCTAACCCCCAATGCCTGACCTCTAACCCGGACACCCCATGGCCTGACCTCTTACCCGGACACAAACCCCTAACCCCCAATGCCTGACCACTAACCCGGACACAAACCCCTAACCCCCAATGCCTGACCTCTAACCCGGACACCAAACCCCTCCAGTGCCTGACCCCTAGCCTAACACAGAGCCCTAACCCCCAATGCCTGACCCTAACCTAACACAAGCCCCTAACCCCCAGTGCCTGACCTCTAGCCCGGACTACAAACCCCTAACCCCCAATGCCTGACCTCTAACCGGACACAAGCCCTAACCCCCAATGCCTGACCTCTAACCCGGACACAAACCCTAACCCCCAATACCTGACCTCTAACACAAACCCCTAACGCCTGACCTCTAACCCGGACACAAGCCCTAACCCCCAATGCCTGACCCTAACACAGACCCCTAACCCCAATGCCTGACCTCTAACACAGCCCCTAACCCCCAATGCCTGACCTCTAGCAGACACAAACCCTAACCCCCAATGCCTGACCCTAACCGGACACAAGCCCCTAACCCCCAATGCCTGACCTCTAACCCGGACACAAACCCCTAACCCCCAATGCCTGACCTCTAACCCCCAACCCTAATCCCTGACCCCTAACACAAACCCCTAACCCCCAATGCCTGACCTCTAACCCGGACACAAACCCCTAACCCCCAATGCCTGACCTCTAACCCGGACACAAACCCCTAACCCCCAATGCCTGACCCCTAACTCTTACCTCTATCTCTAACCCCAGCCCAACCCTCAGGCCTGACCTCTAACCCTAACCCTAACCCTAATGTCTGACCCCTAACCCCAACTTGAAGGGGCCTAACCCTAACCTCTAACCCCCAACCCTCAGGCCTGACCTCCTAGCCCAAACCCCTGACCCTAACCTAACACAAACCCTAACCCCTGACCTTTAACCCTTACCTCTACCTCTAACCCAACTCTAAGGAGGCATTTTATTTTATTTTATTTTATTTATTTCATTTCATTTCATTTCATTTCATTTTATTTCATTTTATTTATTTCATTTTATTTATTTACTTTTATTTCATTTCATTTTATTTATTTCATTTATTTCCTTTTATTTTATTTCATTTTATTTATTTCATTTCATTTTATTTCATTTTATTTATTTTATTTTATTTCATTTCATTTTATTTATTTCATTTCATTTTTATTTTATTTTATTTATTTCCTTTTATTTTATTTCATTTCATTTTATTTTATTTATTTCCTTTTATTTTATTTCATTTCATTTTATTTCATTTCATTTATTTCATTTTATTTTATTTTATTTATTTCCTTTCCTTTCCTTTCCTTTCATTTAAGGCCCCGCCCTTTTCGCCTTATAAGGAATGGCCAGGCGGAATAGCGCCGGCAGGCCCCGCCCATCGCTCCTTATAAGGAGCGGAGAGGCGGGAAAGGGGCAGGGAGGCCTCGCCCTTTCTGCCTTATAAGGAGCGGAGAGGCGGGAAAGGGGCAGGGAGGCCCCGCCCTTCTCGCCTTATAAGGAGCGGAGAGGCGGGAAAGGGGCAGGGAGGCCTCGCCATTTTTGCCTTATAAGGAGAGGCAAGGCAGGGAGGCCACGCCCTTTTTGCCTTATAAGGAAAGGCCAGGCGGGGAGAGGCACAGGCGAGGCCACGCCCTTTTGCCTTATAAGGAGGAGGCGGGAAATAGCGCAGGCAGGCCCAGCCCATCTCTCCTTATAAGGAGCAGAAGGGGCAGGGAGGCCACGCCCTTTTCGCCTTATAAGGAAAGGCCGGGCGGGAGAGCGCCCTCGCAGGGCGACGCGGCGGCGGCGTGACGTCACGGGGCGGGCGTGGCCTGGGAGGCACCGGCGCCTTTCTAAGGAGCGGAAGGGGCGGGGCCTAAGGAAGCGCTTCCGGGCGAGCGGGCTGAGGCGCCGGGCGGTGAGTGGGGGAGACTTGGGGGGCGAAGAGGGGAGGGAAGGGAACCCTCCGGGTCATCCAGCCTGACCCCCAGGTAAGGGGGGAGAGGGGAGCATAGAGACGGGAGGGCCGGAAGCCTAGAAGGGTCGGGCCCAGAAGAGAAGGAAGGGGCCTCTCTAGGACATCGAGGGGGTTATAAGAGGACTAAAGAGGGTGGAGGGACCTCTCCGGGTCATCCAGCCTGACCCCCTGGCCGCGGGGGGGGAGGGGAGCATAGCGCCGGGAGGCTTGGAGTCCTAGAAGGGTCGGGTCCAGACGGGAAGGCCCGAGGGGGTACTGGGGGTCATAGAGAGGAAGGGCCTCTCTAGGTCCTCCAGGCGGGATTTAGGGAGCATAGAGGGAAGGAGCCCTGGGGACCATAGAGAGGGAAGGGAACCCTCGGGGTCATCCAGCCTGACCCCCTGGCCGAGGGTGGGGAGAGGAGCATAGAGACGGGAGGCCTGGGGTCCTAGAAGGGTCGGGCCCAGAAGGGAAGGCCCGAGTGTAATGAGGGGAGTAATGGGGGACCATAGAGAGGGAAGGGAGCCCTTGGGGACCATAGAGAGGGAAGGGACCCCTCCAGGTCATCCAGCCTGACCCCTGGCCGAGGAGGGAGGGAGGCATAGAGACGGGAGGCCTGGAGTCCTAGAAGGTCGGGCCCAGAAGGGAAGGCCCGAGGGGGTAATGGGGGGGTCATAGAGAGGGAAGGGGCCTCTCTAGGTCCTCCAGGCGGGATTTAGGGGAGCATAGAGAGGGAAGGGAGCCCTTGGGGACCATAGAGAGGGAAGGGAACCCTCGGGGTCATCCAGCCTGACCCCCTGGCCGAGGGTGGGGAGAGGAGCATAGAGACGGGAGGCCTGGGGTCCTAGAAGGGTCGGGCCCAGAAGGGAAGGCCCGAGTGTAATGAGGGGAGTAATGGGGGACCATAGAGAGGGAAGGAGCCCTTGGGGACCATAGAGAGGGAAGGGAACCCTCGGGGTCATCCAGCCTGACCCCCTGGCCGAGGGTGGGGAGGGGAGCATAGAGACGGGAGGCCTGGAGTCCTAGAAGGGTCGGGCCCAGAAGGGAAGGCCCGAGGGGGTAATGGGGGGGTCATAGAGAGGGAAGGGGCCTCTCTAGGTCCTCCAGGCGGGATTTAGGGGAGCATAGAGAGGGAAGGGAGCCCTTGGGGACCATAGAGAGGAAAGGGAACCCTCGGGGTCATCCAGCCTGACCCCCTTGGCCGAGGGTGGGGAGGGGAGCATAGAGACGGGAGGGCCGGAAGCCTAGAAGGGTCGGTTAATGGGGGGATCATAGAGAGGGGAGGGGGCCTCTCTGGGTCCTCCAGGCGCGTATTATGGGAGAAGGGAGAGGGAAGGGAGCCCTTGGGGACCATAGAGAGGGAAGGGAACCCTCCGGGTCATCCAGCCTGACCCCCTTGCAAGGTACCATAGAGAGGAAAGGAACCCCTTGAGGACCATAGATAGGGAAGGGGCCTCTCTAGGTCCTCCAGGCGGTTCTGAGGGGACAATAGAGGCGGTAGGCCCGGAATCCTAGAAGGGTCGGGCCCAGTAGAGAAGGCCCGAGGGGAATGAGGGGTCATAGAGAGGGAAGGGGCCTCTCTAGGTCCTCCAGGCGAGTGTTAGGGAAGCATAGAGAGGGAAGGGAACCCTCCGGGTCATCTAGCCTGACCCCCTGGCCGAGGGTGGGGAGAGGAGCATAGAGACGGGAGGCCTGGAGTCCTAGAAGGGTCGGGCCCAGAAGGGAAGGCCCGAGGGGAATGAGGGGTCATAGAGAGGGAAGGGGGGGGCCTCTCTGGGTCCTCCAGGCGAGTGTTAGGGGAGCATAGAGAGGGAAGGGACCACTCCGGGTCATCCAGCCGGACCCCCTGGTAATGGGTTAATGGGGAACATAGAGAGGAAGGGGCCTCTCTAGGTCCTCCAGGCGGGTGTTAGGGGATCATAGAGAGGAAAGGGACTCCTCCAGGTCATCCAGCCTGACCCCGTGCCAGGGGCGATGAGGGAAGCATAGAGCGGACCGGGGCCTCTCTTGGTCCTCCAGGCGGGTGTTAGGGGATCATAGAGAGGGAAGGGAACCCTCCGGGTCATCTAGCCTGACCCCCTTGCAAGGGAATATTGGAGGACCGTAGATACGGGAGGCACAGAATCCTAGAAGGGAACCCCCCGGGTCATCCAGTCAGACCCACTTGCAAGGGATCATAGAGAGGGAAGGGACCCCTCCAGGTCATCCAGCCCGACCCCTTGCAGGGGGCTATGAGGGAAGCGTAGAGAGGAAAGGGGCCTCTCTAGGTCCTCCAGGCGGGTGTTAGGGGATCATAGAGAGCAAAGGGACCCCTCGGGGTCATCCAGCCTGACCCCCTTGCAAGGGAATATTGGAGGACCATAGACACGGGAGGCACAGAATCCTAGAGGGTCATGCAGCCAGACCCCCCTGGCAAGGGAATATTAGGGGATCATAGAGTGGGAAGGGGCCTCTCTACGACATCCAGGAGCTTATGAGGGGATCATAGAGAGGGAAGGGACTCCTCCGGGTCATCCAGCCTGACCCCCTGGCGAAGGGTGAGGAGGGGAGCATAGAGACGGGAGGCCTGGGATCCTAGAAGGGTCAGGCCAGAAGGGAATTGCTGAGGGTCTGGCAAGGGGTTATGGGGGGTCATAGAGAGGGAAGGGGCCTCTCTCGGTCCTCCAGGCGCGTATTATGGGATAATGGAGAGGGAAGGGACCCCTCCCGGTCATCCAGCCTGACCCCCTTGCAAGGGACCATAGAGAGGGAAGGGTCGAGGCCAGAAGGAAAGCCTCAGGGTCATCCAGCCTGACCCCCTGGCAAGGGGATAATTGGGGATCATAGAGATGGAAGGCACAGAATCCTAGAAGGCTCGAGCCAGAAGGGAACCCTCCAGGTCATCCAGCCTGACCCCCTTGGAAGGGGTTAGACCATAGAGATGGAGGGCCCAGAATCCTAGAAGGGGCCTCTCTAGGTCCTCCAGGTGGTTGTTGGGGATCATAGAGAGGGAAGGGAACCCTCCCGGTCATCCAGCCTGACCCCCTTGGAAGGGAATATTAGAGGACCATGGACACAACAGGTGCAGAATCCTAGAAGGGCCGAGCCAGAAGGGAAGCCCCGAGGGACTGGGGATCATAGAGAGAGAAGGGACTTCTCTAGGGGATCAGAGAGAGGGAAGGGACCCCTCCAGGACATCCAGCCTGACCCGCTTGCAAAGGGTTATGAGGCGACCACAGAGACAGATTCCGCAGCATCCTAGAAGGCTTGAGCCAGAAGGGACCCCTCTAGGACATCCAGCCTGACCCCCTTGCAAGACCATAGAGAGGGAAGGGTCCCCTTCAGGTCATCCAGCCTGACCCGCTTGGAAGGGAATATTAGAGGACCACGGACACAGGAGGCACAGAATCCTAGAAGGGTCGAGCCAGAAGGGAACCCTTTAGGACATCCAGCCTGACCCCCTTGCAAGGAACCATAGAGAGGGAAGGGGCCTCTCTAGGACATTCAGGCGGTTATGGGGGGACCATAGAGAAGGAAGGGAACCCTCTAGTACATCCAGCCTGACTCCCTTGACAAGGGACCATAGAGAGGAAGGGGCCTCTCTAGGTCATCCAGGCGGTTATGAGGGACCATAGAGCGGGAGAGGACCCCTCTAGGACATCCAGGCAGTTATGAGGGGACCATAGAGAGGGAACGACCTCTCTAGGACATACAGGCAGTTATGAGGGAATCAGAGAGAGGAAGGGAGTCCTCCAGGTCATCCAGCCAGACCCCATTGCAAGGGACCATAGGGAGGGAAGGGACTTCTCTAGGTCCTCCAGGCGCTTATTAGGGGATCGTAGAGAGGGAAGGTCCAGATTCCTAGAAGGCTCGAGCCAGAAGGGACCCCTCCCGGTCATCCAGCCTGACCCCCTTGCAAGAGACCATAGAGGCAGAAGGCTCAGAATCCTAGAAGGCTCGAGCCAGAAGGGACCCCTCCCGGTCATCCAGCCTGACCCCCTTGCAAGGGAGACCATAGAGGCAGAAGGCTCAGAATCCTAGAAGGCTCGAGGCCAGAGCAGGGCACCCTCCTGGTCATCCCGCCTGACCCCCTTTAAGGTGTTAGACCATAGAGATGGAGGGCCCAGAATCCTAGAAGGGGCCTCTCTAGGTCCTCCAGGTGGTTGTTGGGGATCATAGAGAGGGAAGGGAACCCTCCCGGTCATCCAGCCTGACCCCCTTGGCAGAGGTTAGACCGTAGAGAGGGAAGGCGCAGTTATTTGGGGACCATAGAGAGGGAATGCCCAGCATCCTAGAAGGCTCGAGCCAGAAGGGAACCCTGCAGGTCATCCAGCCTGACCTCTTTGCAAGGGATCATAGAGAGGAAGGAATTGCTATAGGTCCTCCAGGCGCTTATGAGGGGATCATAGGGAGGGAAGGGTTCTCTCTAGGACATCCAGGCGGTTATTGGGGGATCATAGAGAGGGAAGAGACCCCTGCAGGTCATCCAGCCTGACCCCCTCCAACGCAGGGATCTAGAACATCGGATCTAGACAGGAACTTCCTGGGTCATCCAGCCTGGGTCATCCAGCCTGACCCCCTGGCAAGGGACCATAGAGACGGAAGGCCCAGAATCCTAGAAGGGATCAGAGAGAGGAAGGGGGTCCTCCAGGTCATCCAGCCTGACCCCCTTTGCAAGGGATTATGAGGTGACCATAGAGACGGAAGGCCCAGAATCCTAGAAGGCTCGAGCCAGAAGGGACCCTCCAGGTCATCCAGCCTGACCCCCTGGCAAGGGACCATAGAGACGGAAGGCTCTGAATCCTAGAAGGCTCGAGCCAGAAGGGGCCCTCCAGGTCATCCAGCCTGACCCCCTGGCAAGGGACCATAGAGACGGAAGGCCGAGAATCCTAGAAGGCTCGAGCCAGAAGGGACCCCTCCAGGTCATCCAGCCTGACCCCCTGGCAAGGGACCATAGAGAGGGAAGGGAATCCTCCAGGTCATCCAGCCTGACCCCCTGGCAAGGGACCATAGAGAGGGAAGGGACCCCTCCAGGTCATCCAGCCTGACCCCGTGGCAAGGGATTATGAGGCGACCATAGAAGCGGAAGGCCCAGAATCCTAGAAGGCTCGAGCCAGAAGGGACCCCTCCAGGTCATCCAGCCTGACCACCTGGCAAGGGATCATAGAGAGGGAAGGAATCCTCCAGGTCATCCAGCCTGACCCCTGGCAAGGACTTATTAGGGAATCATAGAGACTTGAAGGCACAAAGTCCAAGAAGGGCTCAGCCAGAAGGGAACCCTCCAGGTCATCCAGCACGTTATGAGGGGATCATAGAGAGGGAGGGGACCTCTCTAGATCCTCCCGGTCGTTATGAGGGGATCATAGAGAGGGGAGGTCCAGATTCCTAGAAGGCTTGAGCCAGAAGGGACCCCTCCCGGTCATCCAGCCTGACCTCCTCGCAAGGGATCATAGAGAGGGAAGGAACCCCTGGCAAGGGATCATAGAGAGGGAAGGGACCTCTCTAGGTCCTCCAGGCCATCATTCGGCGACCATAGAGACCAAATTCTCAAAAGCCTAGAAGGCTCGAGCCAGACGGTTCCCCCTCCCGGTCCTCCAGCCTGACCCCGGAACTACAACTCCCTTCCAGGGCGTCCGGATCCTGCAAGGGATCATAGAGAGGCAAGGGACCTCTCTAGGTCCTCCAAGGCGGTTATGAGGGGATCATAGAGAGGGAAGGGACCCCTCCAGGTCATCCAGCCTGACCCCGATACTACAACTCCCTTCCAGGGCGCCGCTTCACCCCATGGCAGCCTCCGGATCCCTTTTAATAATAATAATAGTAGTAGAAATAATAATATTATTAGTATTAATATACCTGCCCCGCAAACTATTACCCCCTACCCGGCCGCCGCTTCCCCCCACAATTCACCCCTGGCGGCCTCCGGATCCCTTTTAAGAAGAAGAAGAATAGTAGTAGTAGTAGTAGCAGCAGCAGTAGTAGTAATAGTAGTAATAATAGTAATAATATACCTGACCCGAAACTATTACTCCCTTCCAGGGCGCCGCTTCCCCCCACAATTCACCCCCTGGCGGCCTCCGGATCCCTTTTAAGAAGAAGAAGAATAGTAGTAGTAGTAGTAGCAGCAGCAGTAGTAGTAGTAATAGTAGTAATAATAGTAATAATATACCTGACCCCGAAACTATTACTCCCTTCCAGGGCGCCGCTTCCCCCCGCAATTCACCCCCTGGCGGCCTCCGGATCCCTTTTAAGAATAATAATAGTAGTAGTAGTAGTAGTAATAGTAATAATGTACCTGACCCCGGAACTATTACTCCCTTCCAGGGCGCCGCTTCCCCCCACAGTTCACCCCATGGCGGCGGCCGGATCCCTTTTAAGAATAATAATAATAGTAGTAGTAGTAGTAGTGGTGGTGGTAGTAGTAGTAGTAGTAGTAGTAATAGTAGTAATAATAGTAATAATATACCTGACCCCGAAACTATTACTCCCTTCCAGGGCGCCGCTTCCCCCCGCAATTCACCCCCTGGCGGCCTCCGGATCCCTTTTAAGAATAATAATAGTAGTAGTAGTAGTAATAGTAATAATGTACCTGACCCCGGAACTATTACTCCCTTCCAGGGCGCCCCCGGATCCTGCCCCCCATGGCAGCCCCCGGATCCTGCACCCCGCCCTGCTCCCTGGAGGCCCCGCTTCCCGGCTTCCCCAAGGCGATCCTGCAGGCCGAGGTGCAAGGCAAGTACCTCTGCTCCGAGTGCGAGGATCTGCTGCGGAGGCCCTTCCAGGCCCAGTGCGGCCACCGCTACTGCGCCTACTGCCTGAAGAAGCTGGTGGGGTGAGTATTTTTTGGGGGGGGGTCCGGGACCGGGGATACCAAAGTAATAATTGCAGTTGTTGTTGTAGTAGTAGTAGTAATAGTAGTAGTAGTAGTACAAAAGTAATAATAATTGTTGTTGTTGTTGTACCAAAGTAATAGTAGTAATGAGGAGGAGGAGGAGGAGAGTAATAGTAGTAGTAGTAGTAACAACAACAATAGGAAGAGGAGGAGGAGGAGTAACAACAACAAGAACAACAAGAAGAACAACAACAATAGTAAGGAGGAGGAGGAGGATAGTAGTAGTAGTAACAACAACAACAACAAGAGGAGGAGGAGTAACAACAAGAACAACAACAAGTACAACAACAATAGTAAGGAGGAGGAGGAGGATAGTAGTAGTAGTAACAACAACAACAACAACAATAGGAAGAAGAGGAGGAGTAACAACAAGAACAACAACAAGTACAACAACACTAGTAAGGAGGAGGAGGAGGATAGTAGTAGTAGTAGTAGTAGTAACAACAACAACAACAACAAAACAATAGGAAGAGGCGGAGGAGGAGGAGGAACAATAGTATTAATATTAATAATAAGAAGAGTAGTAGTAACAACAGAAGAAGAAGAGTAATAGTAGTAGTAACAACAACAACAGAAGAGGAGGAGGTTGATAGTAGTAGTAGTAGTAACAACAACAACAACAACAAAACAATAGGAAGAGGCGGAGGAGGAGGAGGAACAATAGTATTAATATTAATAATAAGAAGAGTAGTAGTAACAACAGAAGAAGAAGAGTAATAGTAGTAGTAGTAGTAACAACAACAACAACAGAAGAGGAGGAGGAGGAGGAGGATAAGGATAGTAATAGTAGTAGTAGTAACAACAACAACAAGAGGAGGAGGAGTAACAACAACAACAACAATAAGAAGAGTAGTACTAGTAACAACAACAAAACAAGAGTAGTAGTAGTAGTAGTAGTAGTAACAACAACAAAACAACAACAATAGTAATAATAATACTAAGAAGAAAAGTAATAGTCGTAGTAGTAGTAGTAGTAGTAGTAATAATAATAATAGACCGGACTGTATCAAGCGGGAGAAAACACCGTCTGAACAGGAGAGATTTTCGTGTGTGTGTCAATCAGCCCGGCCTGGGATCCATAATACTACTACTACTACTACTACTAATAAGCTTTCCTCTCTCTCCCCGCAGCTCGGGGCCGCTGCCCTGCGCCGCCTGCCTCCGGGAAGGGCTGTACGAAGAGGGCGTCTCCATCTTGGACAGCGGCACGGTGAGCGGAATATTATTATTATTATTATTATTATTATTATTATTATTATTATTATATCTCTCGCCGCTTCTCTTCCAGGCTTCATTATTATTACTATTATTATTATTATTACTATTATTATTATTATTATTCTCTCTCGCCGCTTCTCTTCCAGGCCTCATTATTATTACTATTATTATTATTATTATTATTATTATTCTCTCTCGCCGCTTCTCTTCCAGGCTTCATTATTATTACTATTATTATTATTACTATTATTATTATTATTATTATGTATATATTATTATTACTCTCTGCTGCTTCTCTTCCAGGCTTCATTATTATTATTATTATTACTATTATTATTATTATTATTATTCTCTCTCGCCGCTTCTCTTCCAGGCTTCATTATTATTAGTATTATTATTATTATTATTATTAATATTATTATTATTATTATTCTCTCTCGCCGCTTCTCTTCCAGGCTTCATTATTATTATTATTATTACTATTATTATTATTATTATTATTCTCTCTCGCTGCTTCTCTTCCAGGCTTTATTATTATTATTATTATTACTATTATTATTATTACTGTTATTTTTATTATTATTATTACTATTATTAATATTATTACTATTATTATTATTATTCTCTCTCGCCGCTTCTCTTCCAGGCTTCATTATTATTATTATTATTACTATTATTATTATTATTTCTACTACTACGGCTATTACTATTATTACTATTATTACTATTATTATTATTATTATTATTATTACTATTATTACTATTATTATTTCTGATTAATTTCTTCCGCCAGGCTTTCCCCGATAACGCCGCCCGGCGCGAGGTGGAAAGTCTCCCGGCCGCCTGCCTCCGCAAGGACTGTCCCTGGAAAGGTACCGTCAAGGAGTATGAGGTGAGTACTTGGCTTCTGGGCGACGGGTTCGAATCCCGGCTCATTACTCTCTCTTGATGGCTGGAAAAATCTAGTCTGACCCCCTTCTTCTTCTTGTTGTTGTTACTGTAGTAGTAGTACTATTGGTGGGGAGGGTGGTATTATCAGTATTATTGTTAGTAGTAGTAATTAGTAGTAGTAGTAGTAGTAGTAGCAGTACTATTATGTATGATGTTAGCCACTCTGAGCCCGGCTTTGGCCGGGGAGGGTGGTATTATCAGTATTATTGTTAGTAGTAGTAATTAGTAGTAGTAGTAGTAGTACTATTATGTATGATGTTAGCCACTCTGAGCCCGGCTTTGGCCGGGGAGGGTGGTATTATCAGTATTATTGTTAGTAGTAGTAATTAGTAGTAGTAGTAGTAGTAGTAGTACTATTATGTATGATGTTAGCCACTCTGAGCCCGGCTTTGGCCGGGGAGGGTGGTATTATCATTATTATTGTTAGTAGTAGTAATTAGTAGTAGTAGTAGTAGTAGTAGTACTATTATGTATGATGTTAGCCACTCTGAGCCCGGCTTTGGCCGGGGAGGGTGGTATTATCAGTATTATTGTTAGTAGTAGTAAGTAGTAGTAGTAGTAGTTAGTAGTAGTAGTAGTAGTAGTAATATTTATACCCTCTGATAATAATAATAATAATAATACCCTCTGAGCCCGGCTTTCGGCTTATTATTATCAGTACTATGAGTACTATTATGTATGAGTCTGGCTTTGGCCGGGGAGGATGGTGGTGGTGGTAGTAGTAGTAGTAGTACCATTAGTACCATTAGTACTATTGTGTATTGTTAGCCGCTCTGAGCCTGGCTTTGGCCTGGGAGGGTGGTATTATCAGTAGTAGTAGTAGTAGTAGTAGGTAGTAGTAGTAGTAGTAGTAGTAATAATATTTATATCCTCTGATGATAATAATAATAATGTCCTCTGAGCCCGGCTTTCGGCTTATTATTATCAGTACTATTAGTACTATTATGTATGAGTCTGGCTTTGGCCGGGGAGGTGGTGGTGGTGGTGGTAGTAGTAGTAGGTACCATTAGTACCATTAGTACTATTGTGTATTGTTAGCCGCTCTGAGCCTGGCTTTGGCCTGGGAGGGTGGTATTATCAGTAGTAGTAGTAGTAGTAGCACTATTATCTATGATGTTAGATGCTCTGAGCCCGGCTTTGGCTGCCGAGGTAGGTATTATCAGTAGTAGCAGTATTAATAGTAGTATTGGTACTATTATGTATGGTGTTAGCCGCTCTGAGCCCGGCTTTGGCGGGGAGGTGTGTATTATTAGTAGTAGTAGTAGTATTAGAACTATTAGTACCATTAGTACTATTATGTATTGTTCTGAGCCCAGCTTTGACAGTGGAGGGTGGTATTGTCAGTATTAGTACTACTACTAGTAGTAGTAATACCGCTCTGAGCCCAGCTTTGGCTGTGGAGGGTGATATTAGTAGTAGTGGTAGTAGTAGTAGTAGTACTATTATGTATGATGTTAGCCACTCTGAGCCCGGCTTTGGCCAGGGAGGGTGGTATTATTATCAGTACTATTAGTACTATTATGCAGGATGTTAGACTGTAGTAGTAGTAGTAGTAGTATTAAGTATGATGCTAACCGCTCTGAGCCCAGCTTTGACTGCGGAGGGTGGTGGTGGTGGTAGTAGTAGTAGTTGTTGTTGTTTTAGTACTATTGGTATTATTATCTATAATGTTAGTCGCTCTGAGCCTGGTTTTGGCAAGGGAGGGTGGTATTATCAGTAGTAGTAGTAGTAGTTGTTGTTTTAGTACTATTGGTATTATTATCTATGATGTTAGCCGCTCTGAGCCTGGTTTTGGCAAGGGAGGGTGGTATTATCAGTAGTAGTAGTAGTAGTAGTTGTTGTTTTAGTACTATTGGTATTATTATCTATGATGTTAGCCGCTCTGAGCCTGGTTTTGGCAAGGGAGGGTGGTATTATCAGTAGTAGTAGTAGTAGTAGTAGTACTACTACTACTACTACTACTATTGGTATTATTATCTATGATGTTAGCCGCTCTGAGCCCGGCTTTGGCTGGGGAGGGTGGTGGTGGTGGTAGTAGTAGTAGTAGTAGTTGTTGTTTTAGTACTATTGGTATTATTATCTATGATGTTAGCCGCTCTGAGCCTGGTTTTGGCAAGGGAGGGTGGTATTATCAGTAGTAGTAGTAGTAGTAGTAGTAAAACCGCTCTGAGCCCGGCTTTGGCCGGGGAGCGTGGTCTTATTATTATTATTATTATTATTACTGTTAGAACTATTGGTACTATTGGTACTATTATGTATGATGTTAGCTGCTCTGAGCCCGGCTTTGGCTGCGGAGGGTGGTATTATTATTATTAGTAGTAGTAGTAGTATTAGAACTATTAGTACCATTAGTACTATTATGTATTGTTAGCCGCTCTGAGCCCAGCTTTGACAGTGGAGGGTGGTATTGTCAGTATTAGTAGTAGTAGTAGTAGTAATACCGCTCTGAGCCCGGCTTTGGCTGCGGAGGGTGGTATTAGTAGTAGTGGTGGTAGTAGTAGTAGTAGTACTATTATGTAGGACGTTGCCGCGTCCAACGCATTACTAATTTCTGATTCCGGAGTAAACCCCGAGTAACCATCCTTGCTCTCCCCTAGGCTCACGAGGAGGCCTGTCCCAAGTTCCCCCTCACCTGCAACGGCTGCGGCAAGACGGACGTCCCGCGGGAATCGGTGAGCCGCCCTCGCCCCGGGGTGGAGTAACGGTACTCCGGGGTCACGGTACTCCGGGGTCACCCATCCCACCCTCTGACCTTCCTCCTCCTTTTCCGATAGTTCGCCGAACACGTCCGGAGCTGCGGAAGGTTCCGGGTGCCGTGCCGCTTCCGGCCCGTCGGCTGCGGCGAGGTGGTGAGTGCGAGTTGCTACTCTGGGCCGGTTTGGGGGACGTTCCTGCGATGAATGAGTATGAGAACGAGTATGATTCGTATTAGTGTCATTATAGTATAATCAGTATTATTGCGAAGATGGGGATTAGTATTAATAATAGTATAATAGTAGTATAGTAGTAGTATAGTAGTATAGTATAGTAGTGTGGTGGTGGTGGTAGTAGTAATAATAATAATAATAATAATAATAATAATAATAATAATATAATATAGTATAGCAGTATAGTAGTAGTGATGGTGGTGGTAATAATAATAATAATAATAATAAATAATAATATAGTAGAGCAGTATAGTAGTAGTGATGGTGGTGGTAATAATAATAATAATAATAATATAATACAGTATAGCAGTATAGTAGTAGTGATGGTGGTGGTAATAATAATAATAATAATAATAAATAATAATATAGTAGAGGCAGTATAGTAGTAGTGATGGTGGTGGTAATAATAATAATAATAATTATAATAATAATAATAACAATCATATAATACATTATAGCAGTATAGTAGTAGTGATGGTGGTGGTAGTAATAATAATAATAATAATAATAATAATAATAATAATAAAATATATAGTATAGCAGTATAGTAGTAGTGATGGTGGTGGTAATAATAATAATAATAATAATAATAATAATATAATACAGTATAGCAGTATAGTAGTAGTGATGGTGGTGGTAGTAATAATAATAATAATAATAATAATAATAATAATAATAATAATAAAATATATAGTATAGCAGTATAGTAGTAGTGATGGTGGTGGTAGTAATAATAATAATAATAAGAAGAAGAAGAAGAAGAAGTGTTACTAGGAGTATTGGTATGATCATTATTATTGTGATGGTGATGAGTATCAATATAGCAATAGTATTAGCAATAGTAGAAATAATAGGTAGTAGTAGTATGGTTAGTATTTGCACCATTGGTAGTATTGGTGACATTCGTAGGATTACTACTAGTATTGGTATTAGTAGTACAACGGCTTTGATTAATATTGGTAGTATTCGTCTATTCGTAATATTGGTAGTATTCAGTAGTATTGGTAGATTAATTATTAGTAGTATTTATCTCATTAGTGTGAGTAGTACTGCTGTAAATATTAGTAGTAATGGTATTAGCATTAGTAGTATGTCTGCTTTGATGGATATTAGTGTTAGCATTAGTAGTAGTATTCATCTCATTAGTGTGAGTAATACCGCTGTGGTTATTAGTAGTAATGCTATTAACATTAGTAGTATGGCTGCTTTGATGGATATTAATATTAGTATTATTAGTAGTATTGGTCTCATTAGTGCTAGTGGTATTGCTCTGCTTATTACTAGTAGTATTGGTATTAGTATGATTGTGTTGATTGATAGTAGTAGCACAACTAATGCTGCGAACACTACTAGCATTAGTAGCATGATTGCTCTGATTAAGATCCATATTAGCATTCTTAGTAGTATTGGTCTCATTGGTGTGAGTAGTATTGCTACGATTCCTAGTAGTATTCGTATTAGTTTTTGTAGTATTGTTGCATTGACTAATAATACCAATCCTACTAATAATCATAGCAATACTAAAGATATGAATGAGAATAATGATCCCAATACTACCAGCAATACTAACATCAATACTACTACTACTACCCAATACTACCACCAATACTGACATCAATACTACTACTACCCAATACTACCAGCAATACTAACATCAATACTACTGCTACTACTACCCAATACTACCAGCAATACTAACATCGATACTACTACTACCCAATACTACCAGCAATACTAACATCAATACTACTGCTACTACTACCCAATACTACCAGCAATACTAACCTCAATACTACTATTACTACCCAATACTACCAGCAATACTAACATCGATACTACTACTGCCCAATACTACCAGCAATACTAACATCAATACTACTACTACTACTACTACCCAATACTACCAGCAATACCAACATCAATACTACTACTGCTACTACCCAATGCCACCAGCAATACTAACATCAACACTACTACTGCTACTACACAACACTACCCGCAATACTAACATCAATACTACTACTACACCCAATACTACCAGCAATACTAACATCAATACTACTACTGCCACTACTACCCAATACTACCAGCAATACTAACATCAATACTACTACTGCTACTACCCAATACTACCAGCAATACTAACATCAACACTACTACTGCTACTACACAACACGACCCGCAATACCAACATCAATACTAATACTGCTACTACCCAATACTACCAGCTACTGTTACTACTACCCAATACTACCAGCAATACTAACATCAACACTACTACTGCTACTACACAAGACGACCCGCAATACCAACATCAATACTACTATCAATCAACATCAATACTACTATCAGTATTACTGCAAATACTCCTAATAATCACCGCAATACTACTCACACTTACCAGTGAGTAGTATACTGCTAACACTAACAGCATTAATACCCTGATGCTTTTGATTCAGACTCCTGTTTATCGCTTTCTACTACTCATAGTACTGCTTTGAGTATTACTACTACTTCCTCCCCCGGTTTCACAGCTGGAGAACGAGGCCCTGCCCCTCCACGAGGCCCAGAACTTTCCGGAACATCTCGGCCTACTCCTCAACTTCGCCCTCCGGCTGGCTGGGGGCCCCGATTCGGACCCCCATTTATTCGGGGCCCCACATTCGGCCCCAGACCCCCATTTATTCGGGGCCCCCGACCTGGTCCAAGACCCCCAATTGGTCCAAGAGCCCCGTTTATTGGGGGCCCCCCATTCGGCCAAAGACCCCTGTTTGGTCCGAGACCCCCATTTATTCGGGGCCCCCGATCTGGTCCAAGAGCCCCATCTGATCGGGGCCCCCAATTCGGTTCAAGACCCCCATTTGGCCCGAGACCCCCATTTATTGGGGGCCACACATTCAGCCCAAGACCCCCATCTGATCGGGGCCCCCAATTTGGCTCAAGACCCCCATTTGGCCCGAGACCCCCATTTATTGGGGGCCACACATTCAACCCCAGACCCCCATTTCCTAGGGGCCCGAAATTCAGCCAAGGAACCCCACTCACCCCCAGACCCCCGTTTACTCGGGGCCCCACATCCGGTCAAGGAACCCCATTCAGCCCCAGATCCCCATTTACTCGGGGCCCCCCATCCAATCAGGGGCCCCAATTCAGCTCAAGACCCCCATTTGGTCAAAGACCCCCGTTTCCTCGGGGCCCCGAATCCGTCCCAAGCCCCCCATCCCATCCGGGGCCACAATTCAGCCCCAGACCCCCATTTCCTGGGGGCCCCACATTCGGCCCCAGACCCCCATCCAATCAGGGGCCCCGATTCAGCTCCAGACCCCCATTTGGTCAAAGACCCCCGTTTCCTGGGGGCCCCGAATCCGTCCCAAGCCCCCCATCCCATCCGGGGCCACAATTCAGCCCCAGACCCCCATTTCCCGGGGGCCCCACATTCGGCCCCAGACCCCCAACCAATCAGGGGCCCCGATTTGGCCCCGGACCCCCATGTCCTGGGGGCCCCAGCCCCCCATCCTCTCGGGGCCCCTCATTGGGCGGCCCTCGAACTCAAGGCCTCCACCCTAGAGAAGATCGTCTGCGTCCTGAACCGGGAAGTGGAGCGCCTGGCGGCCGAATCGGCGCAAGAGCGGCGCCGGGACGAGGAGCGCGCCGCAGCGCTGACCCACAAGGTTCGGGGCGCGGGTTCGGGGGGCGGGGGGTCCCGATCCGGTTCACGCCCTGACACTCTGACCCCCGTCGGCGCGCCAAACCGGAGTCACTCTGCTTTCTGCAGAGTCACAAACAAAAAAACCCCCAAAACTGGAGTCAATCCGGTTTGCCACGTTTCCCCTTTCCGGGAAACGAAGCCCCAAAGCGGAGTCAGCCTGGAGCCCCAAAGCGGAGTCAGTCGGAAGCCCCCAAGTGGAGTCAAAGTGGAGTTAGTCTGATGCCCCAAAGTGGAGTCAGCCTGGAGCCCCAAAGCGGAGTCAGTCGGAAGCCCCCAAGTGGAGTCAAAGTGGAGTTAGTCTGATGCCCCAAAGTGGAGTCAGCCTGGAGCCCCAAAGCGGAGTCAGTCGGAAGCCCCAAACTGGACTCAATCTGGTTTGCTGCGTTTCCCTTTCCGGGAAACAGGCCCCAAACTGGAGTCAGTCTGGAGTCTCTCCGCTTTCTCCCCATTTCCCCCGGTTTTCCAACCACTAAAGCCCAAACTGGACTCAATCTGGTTTGCTGCATTTCCCCTTTCCGGGAAACGAAGCCCCAAAGTGGAGTCAGTCTGAAGCCCCAAAGCGGAGTCAGTCGGAAGCCCCAAACTGGACTCAATCTGGTTTGCTGCGTTTCCCCTTTCCGGGAAACGAAGCCCCTTAGTGGAGTCAGTCTGGAGTCACTCCGCTTTCAGCCCATTTCCCCGTTTTCCAACCAAAAAAGCCCAAACTGGACTCAATCTGGTTTGCTGTGTTTCCCCTTTCCGGGAAACAAAGCCCCAAAGTGGAGTCAGTCTGAAGCCCCAAACTGGACTCAATCTGGTTTGCTGCGTTTCCCCTTTCTGGGAAACGAAGCCCCAAAGCGGAGTCAGTCGGAAGCCCCCAAGTGGAGTCAAAGTGGAGTCAGTCTGATGCCGCAAAGTGGAGTCAGCCTGGAGCCCCAAAGCGGAGTCAGTCGGAAGCCCCAAACTGGACTCAATCTGGTTTGCTGCGTTTCCCCTTTCCGGGAAACGAAGCCCCAAAGTGGAGTCAGTCTGGAGTCACTCCGCTTTCGCCCCATTTCCCCCGTTTTTCCAACCAAAAAGCCCACACTGGACTCAATCTGGTTTGCTGCGTTTCCCCTTTCCGGGAAACGAAGCCCCAAAGTGGAGTCAGACTGAAGCCCCAAAGCGGAGTCAGTCTGAAGCCCCAAACTGGACTCAATCTGGATAGCTGCATTTCCCCTGTCCGGGAAACGAAGCCCCAAAGTGGAGTCAGTCTGGAGGCACTCCGCTTAGCCCCATTTCCCCGTTTTCCAACCAAAAGCCCAAACTGGACTCAATCTGGTTTGCTGCGTTTCCCCTTTCCGGAAACGAAGCCCCAAAGTGGAGTCAGTCTGGAGTCACTCCGCTTTCGCCCCATTTCCCCGTTTTCCAACCAAAAAGCCCAAACTGGACTCAATCTGGTTTGCTGCGTTTCCCCTTTCCGGGAAACGAAGCCCCAAAGTGGAGTCAGTCTGGAGTCACTCCGCTTTAGCCCCATTTCCCCGTTTTCCAAGCCAAAGCCAAACTGGACTCAATCTGGTTTGCTGCGTTTCCCCTTTCTGGGAAACGAAGCCCCAAAGTGGAGTCAGTCCGAAGCCCCAAAGCGGAGTCAGTCTGAAGCCCCAAACTGGACTCAATCTGGTTTGCTGCGTTTCCCCTTTCCGGGAAACGAAGCCCCAAAGTGGAGTCAGTCTGGAGCCCCAAAGCGGAGTCAGTCTGATTTCTGTTGTCTATAAAGCTGAAGCCCCAAAGCGGAGTCAGTCTGATGCCCCAAAGTGGAGTCAGTCTGGAGCTTCAAAGCGGAGTTAGTCTGGAGCCCCAAAGCGGAGTCAGTCTGGAGCCCCAAAGCGGAGTCAAGTCTGATTTCCGGTGTCTAGAAATAGGAAAGTTAGGTATGCCCTTCGGCATGCCAAACCGGAGTCACTCCGCTTTCAGCCCATTTCCCCGTTTCCCCCGGATCACAAAAAAACCCAAACTGGAGTCAATCCGGTTTGCCGCGTTTCCCCTTTCCGGGAAACGAAGCCCCAAAGCAGAGTCAGTCTGGAGCCCCAAAGCGGAGTCAGTCCGAAACCCCAAAGAGGAGTCAGTCTGGAACCCCAAAGCGGAGTCAAGTCTGATTTCCGGTGTCTAGAAATAGGAAGGTTAGGTAGGCCCTTCGGTGCGCCAAACTGGAGACACTCCGCTTTCAGCCCATTTCCCGTTTTCCCGGATCTCAAACAAAAAAACCCCCAAACTGGAGTCAATCCGGTTTGCCACGTTTCCCCTTTCCGGGAAATGAAGCCCCAAAGCGGAGTCAGCCTGGAGCCCCCAAGCGGAGTCAGTCGGAAGCCCCCAAGTGGAGTCAAAGTGGAGTCAGTCTGATGCCCCAAAGTGGAGTCAGCCTGGAGCCCCAAAGCGGAGTCAGTCGGAAGCCCCAAACTGGACTCAATCTGGTTTGCTGCGTTTCCCCTTTCCGGGAAACGAAGCCCCAAAGTGGAGTCAGTCTGGAGTCACTCCGCTTTCGCCCCATTTCCCCCGTTTTTCCAACCAAAAAAGCCCAAACTGGACTCAATCTGGTTTGCTGCGTTTCCCCTTTCCGGGAAACGAAGCCCCAAAGTGGAGTCAGTCTGAAGCCCCAAAGCAGAGTCAGTCTGAAGCCCCAAACTGGACTCAATCTGGTTTGCTGCGTTTCCCCTTTCCGGGAAACGAAGCCCCAAAGCGGAGTCAGCCTGGAGCCCCAAAGCGGAGTCAGTCCGAAACCCCAAAGAGGAGTCAGTCTGGAACCCCAAAGCGGAGTCAAGTCTGACTTCCGGTGTCTAGAAATAGGAAGGTTAGGTAGGCCCTTCGGCGCGCCAAACCGGAGTCACTCCGCTTTCAGCCCATTTCCCCGTTTTCCCTGGATCTCAAACAAAGAAAAGCCCAAACTGGAGTCATTCCGGTTAGCCGCGTTTCCCCTTTCCGGGAAAGGAAGGTCCAACGTGGAGTCAGTCTGGAGCCCCCAAGTGGAGTCAGTCGGAAGCCCCCAAGTGGAGTCAAAGTGGAGTCAGTCTGGAGCCCCAAAGTGGAGTCAGTCTGAAGCCCCAAACTGGACTCAATCCGGTTTGCTGCGTTGCCCCTTCCTGGGAAATGAAATCCCAAAGTGGAGTCAATCTGGAGTCACTCCGGTTTCACCCCATTTCCCGGTTCCCGGATTTCAAGCGAAAAACCCCAAACTAGAGTCAATCTGGTTTGCCGCGTTTCCCTTTCTGGAAACGATGGCCCAAACCGTCGTCTAAAAAGCTGAAACCCCAAAGTGGCGTCACTCCACTTTCACCAAATTTCCCCATTTCCCCCGGATCTCAAACAAAGAAGAGCCCAAACTGGAGTCAGTCTGCTTTGACGCGTTTCCCCTTTCCGGGAAACGAAGGCCCAAAGCGGAGTCAAGTCTGATTTCCGGCGTCTAGAAACGAAAGTTCGGTAGGCCCTTCGGCGCGCCAAACCGGAGTCGCTCCACTTTCAGCTCTTTCCCCCGGATCTCAAAGAAAGAAAAGCCCAAACTGGAGTCAGTCTGCTTTGCCGCGTTTCCCCTTTCCGGGAAACGAAGGCCCAAAGCGGAGTCAAGTCTGATTTCCGGCGTCTAGAAAGAGGAAAGTTCGGTAGGCCCTTCGGCGCGCCAAAGCGGAGTCGCTCCGCTTTCAGCTCTTTCCCCCGGATCTCAAAGAAATAAAAGACCAAAGTGGAGTCAGTCTGCTTTCACGCCTTTCCCCATACCGGCAAACGAAGGCCCAAAGCGGAGTCACGTCTGATTTCCGGCGTCTAGAAATAGGAAAGTTCGGCAGGCCCTTTGGCGCGCCAAAGCGGAGTCGCTCCGCTTTCAGCTCTTTCCCCCGGATCTCAAAGAAAGAAAAGCCCAAAGTGGAGTCAGTCTGCTTTGCCGCGTTTCCCCTTTCCGGGAAACGAAGGCCCAAAGCGGAGTCAAGTCTGATTTCCGGCGTCTAGAAATAGGAAAGTTCGGCAGGCCCTTCGGCGCGCCAAACCGGAGTCGCTCCACTTTCAGCTCTTTCCCCCGGATCTCCAAGCCAAAAAAGGCCAAACTGGAGTCAATCCGGTGTCCCTGACCCCCACACCCTGCCCCACAGATCCAGAGCCTGGAGAGGAACCTGGCGCGGAAGGAGGCGGCGCTGGCGGAAGTGGAGTCGGCGCTTCGGCGCGCGGAAGAGGCGACTTACGACGGCGTCTTGATCTGGAAGGTGGAGGAAGTGGGGCGGAAGAGGCAGGAAGCGGTGACCGGCCGGGCGCCGGCCGTCTTCTCGCCGGGTGGGTGGACTTCCTTCCTGTTTCCTTCCTTCCTTCCTTCCTTCCTTCCTGACTTCCTTCCTTCCCTCCCTCCTTCCTTCCTTCCTTCCTTCCCTCCTCCTTCCTTCCTTCCTTCCTTCCCTCCTTCCTTCCTTCCCTCCTTCCTTCCTTCCTTCCTTCCTTCCTTCCTCCCTCCCTCCCTTCCTTCCTTCCCTCCTTCCTTCCCTCCTTCCTTCCTTCCTTCCCTCCTTCCTTCCCTCCCTCCCTCCCTCCTTCCTTCCTCTCCTCCTTCCTGACTTTTTCCTTCCCTCCTTCCAGCCTTCTACACCAGCCGCTACGGCTACAAGATGTGCCTCCTTCCTTCCTTCCTTCCTTTCCTTCCCTCCCTCCCTCCCTCCCTCCTTCCCTCCTTCCTTCCTTCCCTCCTTCCTCCCTCCTTCCCTCCCTCCCTCCCTCCTTCCTTCCTCTCCTCCTGACTTTTTCCTTCCCTCCTTCCTCCCTTCCTCCCTCCCTCCCTCCCTCCTTCCCTCCTTCCTTCCTTCCTTCCCTCCTTCCTTCTTTCCTTCCTTCCTTCCCTCTTCCCTTCCTTCCTTCCTTCCTTCCTTCCTTCCTTCCTTCCTTCCCTCCTTCCTTCTTTCCTTCCTTCCTTCCCTCTTCCCTTCCTTCCTTCCTTCCTTCCTTCCTTCCTTCCTTCCTTCCCTCCCTCCCTCCCTCCCTCCTTCCCTCCTTCCTTCCTTCCCTCTTTCCTTCCTTCCCTCCTTCCTCCCTCCTTCCCTCCCTCCCTCCCTCCTTCCTTCCTCTCCTCCTGACTTTTTCCTTCCCTCCTTCCTTCCTTCCTCCCTTCCTCCCTCCCTCCCTCCCTCCTTCCCTCCTTCCTTCCTTCCTTCCTTCCCTCCTTCCTTCTTTCCTTCCTTCCTTCCCTCTTCCCTTCCTTCCTTCCTTCCTTCCTTTCTTCCCTCCTTCCTTCCTTCCCTCCCTCCCTCCCTCCTTCCCTCCCTTCCTCCCTCCCTCCTTCCTTCCTCTCCTCCTTCCTGACTTTTTCCTTCCCTCCTTCCAGCCTTCTACACCAGCCGCTACGGCTACAAGATGTGCCTCCTTCCTTCCTTCCTTCCTTCCTTCCCTCCTTCCTCCCTCCTTCCCTCCCTCCCTCCCTCCTTCCTTCCTCTCCTCCTGACTTTTTCCTTCCCTCCTTCCTTCCTTCCTCCCTTCCTCCCTCCCTCCCTCCCTCCCTCCCTCCTTCCCTCCTTCCTTCCTTCCTTCCCTCCTTCCTTCTTTCCTTCCTTCCTTCCCTCTTCCCTTCCTTCCTTCCTTCCTTCCTTTCTTCCCTCCTTCCTTCCTTCCCTCCCTCCTTCCCTCCCTTCCTCCCTCCCTCCTTCCTTCCTCTCCTCCTTCCTGACTTTTTCCTTCCCTCCTTCCAGCCTTCTACCCCAGCCGCTACGGCTACAAGATGTGCCTCCTTCCTTCCTTCCTTCCTTCCTTCCTTCCTTCCTTCCTTCCTTCCCTCCTTCCTTCCTTCCTTCCCTCCTTCCCTCCCTCCCTCCTTCCCTCCTTCCTTCCTTCCTTCCTTCCTTCCTTCCTCCCTCCTTCCTTCCCTCCTTCCCTCCTTCCTTCCTTTCCTCCCTCCCTCCCTCCTTCCCTCCCTTCCTCCCTCCCTCCTTCCTTCCTCTCCTCCTTCCTGACTTTTTCCTTCCCTCCTTCCAGCCTTCTACACCAGCCGCTACGGCTACAAGATGTGCCTCCTTCCTTCCTTCCTTCCTTCCTTCCCTCCTTCCTTCCTTCCTTCCCTCCTTCCCTCCCTCCCTCCTTCCCTCCTTCCTTCCTTCCTTCCTTCCTTCCTCCCTCCTTCCCTCCCTCCTTCCCTCCTTCCGTCCTTCCTTCCTTCCTTCCTCCCTCCCTCCCTCCTTCCTTCCTTCCTTCCTTCCCTCCCTCCCTCCTTCCTTCCTTCCTTCCTTCCTTCCTTCCTTCCTTCCCTCCTTCCTTCCTTCCTTCCTTCCTTCCTTCCCTCCTTCCCTCCTTCCTTCCTTCCTTCCCTCCTTCCTTCCTCTCCTCCTTCCTGACTTTTTCCTTCCCTCCTTCCAGCCTTCTACACCAGCCGCTACGGCTACAAGATGTGCCTCCGCCTCTACCTCAACGGCGACGGATCCGGGCGCAACACCCACCTCTCCCTCTTCTTCGTCCTCATGAAGGGGCCCAACGACGCGCTTCTGAAGTGGCCCTTCAACCAGAAGGTAGGCCAAACCGGAGTCACTCCGGTTTCGGAGCTTCCTCCCCCATTTATAACAAAAAAACACCAAAGTGGAGTCAATCCGGTTTGGCGTGTTGCCCCTTTCCTCTCCCTCTTCTCCAACGACGCGCTCCTGAAGTGGCCCTTCAACCAGAAGGTAGGCCAATCCGGAGTCACTCCGGTTTTGCACCTTTTCCCCGGGTTTATAAGCAAAAAAACCCCAAAGTGAAGTCAGTCTGGTTTGGCGCGTTTCCCCTTTCCTCTCCCTCTTCTGCAACGACGCCCTCCTGAAGTGGCCCTTCAACCAGAAGGTAGGCCAAACCGGAGTCACTCCGGTTTCGGAGCTTCCCCCCCCCATTCATAACAAAAAAACACCAAAGTGGAGTCAATCCGGTTTGCTGCCTTTCCCCTTTCCTCTCCCTCTTCTCCAACGACGCGCTCCTGAAGTGGACCTTCAACCAGACAGTAGGCCATTCGGCGCGCCAAACCGGAGTCACTCTGGATTTGGAACTTTTCCCCGGGTTTATAACAAAAAAACAACAACAAACTGGAGTCATTCCAGTTTGCTGCGTTTCCCCTTTCCTCTCCCTCTTCTTCATCCTCCTGAAGTGGCCCTTCAACCAGAAGGTAGGCCAAACCGGAGTCACTCCGCTTTCGCACCATTTCCCCCATTTTTCCCGGGTTTAAAACAAAAAAACCCCAAACTGGAGTCAATCCGGTTTGGCGTGTTGCCCCTCTCCTCTCCCTCTTCTCCAACGACGCGCTCCTGAAGTGGCCCTTCGACCAGAAGGTAGGCCAAACCGGAGTCACTCCGGTTTCGGAGCTTCCCCCCCATTTATAACAAAAAAACTGCAAAGTGCAGTCAATCCGGTTTGGTGCGTGTCACCGTTCCGGGGAAAGTGGAGTCAGTCTGAAGGCCCAAAGTGGAGTCAGTCTGGAGCCCCAAAGCGGAGTCAGTCTGGAGCCCCAAAGTGGAGTCAGTCTGGAGTCACTCCGGTTTCGGAGCTTTTGTCCACATTTATAACAAAAAAACTGCAAAGTGGAGTCAATCCGGTTTGGCGTGTTGCCCCTTTCCTCTCCCTCTTCTCCAACGACGCCCTGCTGAAGTGGCCCTTCAACCAGAAGGTAAGCCAATCCGGAGTCACTCAGGTTTTGCACGTTTTCCCCCGGTTTATAAGCAAAAAAACCCCAAAGTGGAGTCAGTCTGGTTTGCTGCCTTTCCCCTTTCCTCTCCCTCTTCTCCAACGACGCCCTCCTGAAGTGGCCCTTCGACCAGAAGGTAGGCCAAACAGGAGTCACTCCGGTTTCGCTCCATTTTCCCCGGAATTAAAACAAAAAAACTGCAAAGTGGAGTCAATCCGGTTTGGCGTGTTGCCCCTTTCCTCTCCCTCTTCTCCAACGACGCCCTGCTGAAGTGGCCCTTCAACCAGAAGGTAGGCCAAACCGGAGTCACTCCGGTTTCGGAGCTTCCCCCCCCATTTATAACAAAAAAACACCAAAGTGGAGTCAATCCGGTTTGGCGTGTTGCCCCTTTCCTCTCCCTCTTCTCCAACGGCGCGCTCCTGAAGTGGCCCTTCAACCAGAAGGTAGGCCAAACCGGAGTCACTCCGGTTTCGGAGCTTTCCCCCCATTTATAACCAAAAAACTGCAAAGTGGAGTCAATCCGGTTTGGTGCGTGTCACCGTTCCGGGGAAAGTGGAGTCAGTCTGAAGGCCCAAAGTGGAGTCAGTCTGGAGCCCCAAAGCGGAGTCAGTCTGAAGCCCCAAAGTGGAGTCAGTCTGGAGTCACTCCGGTTTCGGAGCTTTTGTCCCCATTTATAACAAAAAAGCACCAAAGCGGAGTCAATCCGGTTTGCCGTGTTGCCCCTTTCCTCTCCCTCTTCTCCAACGACGCCCTCCTGAATGTGGCCCTTCTACCAGAAGGTAGGCCAAACCGGAGTCACTCCGGTTTCACACCACTTCCCCCATTTTTCCCGGGTTTAAAACAAAAAAACCCCAAACTGGAGTCAATCCGGTTTCACCCCATTTCCCCCATTTATAACCAAAAAACTGCCAAGTGGAGTCAATCCGGTTTGGCGCCTTTCCCCTTTGCGGGGAACGAAGCCCGAATGTGGAGTCATTTGGAAGGCCCAGTCTGGAGCCCTAAAGTGGAGTCAGTCTGGAGTCACTCCGGTTTCGGACCTTTTTCCCGGATTTCAAGCAAAAAAAACCCAAACTGGAGTCAATCCGGTTTGGCGCGTCTCCCCTTTCCGGGAAACGAAGTCTGAATGGCCTTTCAACCAGGCGGTAGGCCATTTGGCGCGCCAAACCGGAGTCACTCCGGATTCGGAACTTTTTTCCGGGTTTAGAACAAAAAAAAACAACAAACTGGAGTCAATCCAGTTTGCTGCGTTTCCCCTTTCCTCTCCCTCTTCTTCATCCTCCTGAAGTGGCCCTTTAACCAGAAGGTAGGCCAAACCAGAGTCACTCCGGTTTCGCTCCATTTTCCCCATTTTCCCCGGAATTAAAACCAAAAAAACCCCAAACTGGAGTCAATCCGGTTTGGCGTGTTGCCCCTTTCCTCTCCCTCTTCTCCAACGACGCGCTCCTGAAGTGGCCCTTCAACCAGAAGGTAGGCCAAACCGGAGTCACTCCGGATTCGGAGCTTTTTCCCGGGTTTATAACAAAAAAACCCCAAACTGGAGTCAATCCGCTTTGCCGCGTTTCCCCTTTCTTCTCCCTCTTCTTCGTCCTCTTCATTCAGAAGGCCCAGTCTGGAGCCCCAAAGTGGAGTCAGTCTGGAGTCACTCCAGTTTCGGAGCTTTTCACCGGATTTATAACAAAAAAAGCCCAAACTGGAGTCAATCCAGTTTGGCGTGTCTCCCCTTTCTGGGAAATGAAGGCCCAAAGGGGAGTCAGTCGGAAGGCTCAGTCTGGAGCCCCAAAGTGGAGTCAGTCTGGAGTCACTCCGGATTCGGACCTTTCCCCCGGATTTATAAGCAAAAAACCCCAAACTGGAGTCAATCCGGTTTGGTGCATTTTCCTTCTCTGGGAAACGAAGGCCCAAAGGGGAGTCAGTCGGAAGGCCCAAAATGGAGTCAGTCTGAAGCCCCAAAGTGGAGTCAGTCTGGAGCCCCAAACCGGAGTCACCCCGCTTTTGGAGCATTTCCCCCGTTTTTCGCGGATTTCAAACAAAAAAAAACTAAACTGTATTGAATCCGGTTTGAATCCAAAGTGGAGTCAGTCTGAAGCCCCTAGTGGAGTCAGTCTGGAGCCCCAAAGTGGAGTCAGTCTGGAGTCACTCCGGTTTCGGAGCTTTTTCCAGGATTTATAACCAAAAATTCCCAAACTGGAGTCAATCCGGTTTGCCGCGTTTCCGCTTTCCCTCTTCTTCGTCCTCATGAAGGGGCCCAACGATGTGCTTCTGAAGTGGCCCTTCAACCAGAAGGTAGGCCAAACCGGAGTCACTCTGGTTTCGCTCCATTTCCCCCATTTTTCCCGGATTTAAAACAAAAAAAGCTGCTCTAAAATAAACCGCGAAAGCGGAGTCAATTTGCTTTCCCCACACACCGCTCCGAAACGAACCCCGAAAGCGGAGCCCGTTTCGTTTCTGTTTCCTCTGCCCCCCCCCCCCGATCTGATTCAGACCCCTACCCCCCGAAACTGGTCTGACTCCGGTTTCTCCCCAGGTCACCCTGATGCTGTTGGACCAGGACCACCAGGAGCGGAGTCCATTTGTTTTCCTGGAAACCCCCAAAGTGGAGTGACTCCACCTTCCATTTCCTATTAAGCTGATCTAAAACCTTTGAAAGTGGAGTCAATCCGCTTTCCATTTCCCCGAACGCTGCTCTGAAAGTGGAGTGAATCTGCTTTCCGTTCCCTAGAAAGCTGATCTAAAATCCTGAAACTGGAGTGAATCCGCTTTCCCTTTCCTAGAAAGCTGCTCTAAAATAAATCCTGAAACTGGAGTGAATCCACTTTCCATTCCCTAGAACACCGCTCCGAAACGAACCCCGAAAGCGGAGTCCGTTCGTTTTCCTGGAAACCTCCAAACCGCAGTGAATCCGCTTTATGTTTCCTAGAAAGCTGATCTCCGTTAAGCCCTGAAACTGGAGTGAATCTGCTTTCCTAGAAAGCTGATCTCCGATAAGCCCTAAAAGTGGAGTGAATCCGCTTTCCGTTTCATAGAAAGCTGACCTAAAATAAATCTTGAAACTGGAGTGAATCCGCTTTCCGTTCCCCTGCACGCCGCTCTGAAACGAACCTCGAAAATGGAGTCCATTTGTTTTCCTGAAAAGCCCAAAAGTGGAGTGACTCCACTTTCCATTTCCTATTAGCTGATCCAAAACCTTTGAAACTGGAGTGAATCCGCTTTCTGTTTCCTCCAAAGCTGATCTCCTATAAGCCCTGAAAGTGAAGTGAATCCACTTTCCATTCCCCAAAAGCAGAGTCCGTTTCTTTTCCTGGAAACCCCCAAACCGCAGCGAACCCCCTTTCCGTTTCCTCCGCCCCCGATCTGAAACTGGTCTGACTCCGGTTTCTCCCCAGGTCACCCTGATGCTGCAGGACCAGGTACACCAGGAGCGGAGTCTATTTGTTTTCCTGGAAACCCCCAAACTGGAGCAAATCCACTTTACGTTTCCTAGAACGCTGCTCTAAAATAAGTCCTGAAACTGGAGTGAATCTGCTTTCCTAGAAACCTGATCTCCGACAAGCCCTGAAAGTGGAGTGAATCCGCTGTTTCCTACAAAGCTGATCTAAAACCTTTGAAAGTGGAGTGAATCTGCTTTCAGTTGCCTAGAAACCTGCTCTGTGATAAGCCCTGAAACTGGAGTGAATCCACTTTCCATTCCCCGAAAGCGGAGTCCATTTGTTTAAATGTTTATCTGTTTAAATGTTTCCTAGAACGCTGCTCTCAAATAAACCCCGAAAGCGGAGTCAATTTGCTTTCCCTGAACGCCGATTTCAAAACTAACCCCCAAAGTGGAGCGATTCTGCTTTCTGTTTCTGTTTTTTTTTTTTGAGGTTTCCTCCAATAAGCCCTGAAACTGGAGTGAATCCGCTTTCCGTTTCCTAGACCCCTGATCTGAAATAGGCCCCCAAAAGCGGAGTCTGTTTGTTCCCCCCAACTGGTCTGACTCTGGTTTGACTCCTCCCAGGTCACCTTCCATTTCCTATTAAGCTGATCTAAAACCTTTGAAAGTGGAGTCAATCCGCTTTCCGTTCTCCCGAACGCTGCTCTGAAAGTGGAGAGAATCTGCTTTCTCTTTCCTACAAAGCTGATCTCCGATAAGCCCTGAAAGTGGAGTGACTCCACCTTCCATTTCCTATTAAGCTGATCTAAAACCTTTGAAAGTGGAGTCAATCCGCTTTCCGTTCCCCCGAACGCTGCTCTGAAAGTGGAGAGAATCTGCTTTCTCTTTCCTACAAAGCTGATCTCCGATAAGCCCTGAAAGTGGAGTCAATCCGCTTTCCGTTCCCCCGAATGGTGGCCCGAAAGCGGAGCCCGTTTCCTAGACCCCCCCGATCCGAAACTGGTCTGACTCCGGTTTTCCCCCCAGGTCACCCTGATGCTCCTGGACCAGGACCACCGGGAGCATGTGATCGACGCCTTCCGTCCGGACGTAACCTCCTCCTCTTTCCAGCGTCCAATCGGCGAGCTGAACGTCGCCAGCGGCTGCCCCCTTTTCTGCCCCCTTTCCAAGATGGCCGCCCGGGACTCCTACATCCGGGACGACACCCTCTTCATCAAGGCCATCGTCGACCTAACCGGACTCTGAATCGGCGCGTCTACATGGGGGGCGGCTACTCCGCTTTCGCTCCCGCTCCTGGTTCCCGGTGGAGTCAGTCGGAAAGTGGAGTCAGTCTGGAGTCCCTCCGGTTTTGCCCCATTTCCCCCATTTTTCCCACCAAAAAAACTCAATCCGGACTCTGAATCCGGTGGCGCATCTACATGGGGGGCAGCTACTCCGCTTTCGCTCCCGATCCTGGACCTGAGTGCGAGAGCTTCTGGGAAAAGGTTTGGGTGGAGTCACTCCACTTTTGCCCCGTTTTTCCTGGATTTCAAACCAAAAAACCCCAAACTGTACTCAATCCGGTTTGCCGCGTTTCCACTTTCCAGGAAATGAAGCCCCAAAGTGGAGTGAGTCTGGAGCCCCAAAGTGGAGTCAGTCCGGTTTGCTGCGTTTCCCCTTTCTGGGAAACGAAGCCCGAAAGTGGAGTCAGTCTGAAGGCCCAAAGTGGAGTCAGTCTGAAACCCCAAAGCGGAGTCAAAGTGGAGTCAATCTGAAGCCCCAAAGCGGAGTCAGTGTGGAGCCCCAAAGCGGAGTCAGTCTGAAGTCACTCCGGTTTCGCCAGCAGCTGCCCCCTTTTCTGCCCCCTTTCCAAGATGGCCGCCCGGGACTCCTATGTCCAGGACGACACCCTTTTCATCAAGGCCATCGTCGACCTAACCGGACTCTGAATTGGCGTGTCTACACCGGGGGCGGCTACTCCACTTCTGATCCCGATTCCTGGTGAAGCCCCAAAGTGGAGTCAGTCTGTAGCCCCAAACTGGACTCAGTCTGGTTTGCTGCGTTTCCCCTTTCTGGGAAACGAAGCCCCCAAGTGGAGTCAGTCTGGAGCCCCAAAGTGGAGTCAGTCTGGAGTCACTCCGCTTTCGCCCCATTTCCCCCGTTTTGCCAACAACAAAAACCCAAACTGGACTCTGAATCCGGACTCTGAATCGGCGCGTCTACACGGGGGGCGGCTACTCCGCTTCCGATCCCGGTTCCCGGTGAAGCCCCAAAGTGGAGTCAGTCTGGAGCCCCAAACTGGACTCAGTCTGGTTTGCTGCATTTCCCCTTTCCGGGAAAGGAAGGCCCAAAGTGGAGCCAGTCTGAAGCCCCAAACCGGAGTCACTCCGCTTTTGGAGCATTTGCCTGATTTTCCCGGATTTCAAACAAAAAAAACCCCAAACTGGAGTCAATCCGGTTTGACGCGTTTCCCCTTTCCGGGAAACGAAGCCCCAAAGCGGAGTCAGTCTGGAGTCACTCCGGTTTTGCCCCATTTCCCCCGTTTTTCCAACAAAAAACCCACAAACTGGAGTCAATCCGGTTTGACGCGTTTCCCCTTTCCGGTGGGAATAAATTGGTTTTTCGGAGGATTTTCTCGTTCGTTCTTTGTGGGAAGAGCGGCGGCCAATCAGAAGGGGCTTCCTCTTTCTTCCTCTCTCTTTCTCGTTCTTTTCTTTTTTCCTTTTTCTTCTTCCCTTTCTCCCTCTTTCTCCCTTCTTTTCTTCCTTCCTTTTTCTCTCCCTCCCTCTTTCACCCTTCTTTCTTTCCTTCTTTCTTCCTCCCTCTCTTCGTTCTTTCCTTTTTTCCTATCTTCCTTTTCTTCCCTTTCTCTGCCCCTCCTCCCTCTTTCTCCCTTCTTTTCTCCCTTCCTTTTTCTCTCCCTCCCTCTTTCACCCTTCTTTCTTTCTTTCCTTCTTTCTTCCTCCCTCTCTTCGTTCTTTCCTTTTTTCCTATCTTCCTTTTCTTCCCTTTCTTTGCCCCTCCTCCCTCTTTCTCCCTTCTTTTCTTCCTTCCTTTTTCTCTCCCTCCCTCTTTCACCCTTCTTTCTTTCCTTCTTTCTTCCTCCCTCTCTTCGTTCTTTCCTTTTTTCCTATCTTCCTTTTCTTCCCTTTCTCTGCCCCTCCTCCCTCTTTCTCCCTTCTTTTCTTCCTTCCTTTTTCTCTCCCTCCCTCTTTCACTCTCCTTTCTTTCCTTCTTTCTTCCTCCCTCTCTTCGTTCTTTCCTTTTTTCCTACCTTCCTTTTCTTCCCTTTCTCTGCCCCTCCTTCCTTCGTTTTCCTTCCCCTTCCTTCCTCTTTTTTCCTCCCTTTCTGTGTTCTTTCTTCCCTTCTTCCCTTTTCTTCCTTCTTTCCTTTCCTTTCTCTCTCCTTCCCTCCCTTTCTCCGTTCTTTCCTTCCTTTCCTTCTTTCCTTTTCTTCCATTTTTTCCTCCCTCCCTCCTTTTCTTCCTTCTTTCTTTCCTTTCTCCCTCCCTTTCTCCGTTCCTTCCTTTCCTCATTGTTTCCTTTCTTCCTTCCTTGCTTCTATTCTTCCATTCTTCTTCTCCTCTTCCCTTATTTCCTTTCTTCCTGGTTTCTTCCTTTTCTTCCATTTTTCCTTCATCCCTCCCTCTCTCCCTTCCTTCCTTCCTTCCTTCCTTCCTTCCTTCTCTTCTTCCATTATTCTTCCCTCTCTCCTTTTCTTCCTTTTTCCTCCCTCCCTCCTTTTCTTCCTTCCTTCATTCCTTTCTCCCTCCCTTTCTCCTTCCTTCCTCTCCTTCATCCCTCCCTTCTTTTCTCTGTTCTTTCTTCTTTCTTTCCTTCCTTCTTTCCTTGATCCCTCCCTCTCTTTCTCCATTCCTCCCTCCCGAGTCCCTTCCTTTTCTTTCTTCCTTTCTTCTGTTCTTCCATTCTTCTTCCCTCCCTCCCTTTTCTCCCTTCCTTCTTTCCTTTTCCCTTTTCCCTCCTCCCTTTCTCCTTCCTTTTCTCCTTCCTTCCTCTCCTCCCTCCCTGCCTTTCTTCTTCCTTCCTGCCTCCATTTCTTCCTTCCTCTCTTTCTTTCATTCCTCCCTCCCTTTCCCTCTTCCTTCTTCCTCCCCTATCTCCTTCCTTCCTTCCTCCCTCCTTCCTTCCTTCCTTCCTCCTTCCTTCCTTCCTTTTCTCCTTCCTTCCCTCCTTCCTTCCTTCCTTCTCTCTCTGCCCTTCTCTCTCTCCATCTCTCTTTCTCCTTCCCTCTCTCCTTCCTTCCTTCCTTCCTTCCTTCCTTCCTTCCTTCTTCCTCCCTCCTCCTTCCTTCCCTCTTTCTCCTCCTTCCTTCCTTCCCTCTTTCCCTCCTTCCTTCCTTCCTCTCTCTCTTTCCTTCTTTCTTTCTTTCCTTCTTTCTTCCTTCCTTCTTCCCTATGGACTCTGGCCTCATGCCATCCATAATATGGTCTTAGCCCTTTTTTCCCTCCCTCTTTCTCTCCCCCTGGCTCTCTCTCCCTCCCTCCATCTTTCTTTCTTTCTTTCTTTCTTTCTTTCTTTCTTTCTTTCTTTCTCTCTCTCTCTCTCTCTCTCTTTCCTTCCTTCCTTCCTTCCTTCCTTCCTTCCTTCCTTCCTTCCTTCCTTCCTTCCTTCCCTCCTTCCTTCTTCCTTCCTTCTTCCTCCCTCCCTCCTCTTTCCCTTCTCTCTCTCCCTCCCTCCCTCCATCTATCCCTCTATCTCTCTCTTTCTCCTTCCTTCCTCCCTTCCTTCCTTCCTTCCTTCCTTCCTTCCTTCCTTCCCTCCTTCCCTCCTTCCTTCCTTCCTTCCCTCCTTCCTTCCTTCCTTCCTCCTCCCTCCCTCCCCCTCTCCTTCCTTCCTTCCTTCCTTCCTTCCTTCCTCCCTCCTCCTTCCTTCCTCTCTCCTTCCTTCCTTCCTTCCTTCCTTCCTTCCTTCCTTCCTTCCTCCCTCCTTCCCTCCCTCCTTCCTTCCTTCCTTCCTCCCTCCTTCCTTCCTTCCTTCCTTCCTTCCTTCCTTCCTTCTCTCTCTCCTCTCTCTCTCTTTCCATTTCCCTTTCCTTCTTCCTTCCCTCCTCTCCTTCCTTCCTTCCTTCCTTCCTTCCTCCTCTCTCTCTCTTTCCATTTCCTTCCCTTCCTTCCTTCCTTCCTTTTTTCCCTTCCTTCTCTCTCTCTCTCTCTCTTTCCATTTCCCTTTCCTTCTTCCCCCTCTCCTTCCTTCCCTCCTTCCCTCCCTCCCTCCTTCCTTCCTTCCTTCCTTCCCTCTTTCTTTCTCTCTCTCTCTCTCTCTCTCTCTCTGTCTCTCTCTCTCCCTCTTTCCCTCTCTCTCTCTCCCCATGAGAAGGTCCTATGGGACTCCTGGCCTCATGCCATCCATAATCTGGTCTTAGCCCTTTTTCCCTCCCTCTTTCTCTCCCCCTGGCTCTCTCTCCCTCCCTCTTTCTTTCTTTCTTTCTTTCTTTCCTTTCTTTCTTTCTTTCTTTCTCTCTCTCTCTCTTTCGCTGTCTTTCCCCTTCCTTCCCTCCTTCCTTCCTCCCCTCCCCTCCTCCTTCGCTTCTCTCTCTCTCTCCCTCCCTCCCTCCATCTATCCCTCTATCTCTCTCTTTTTCCTTCCTTCCTTCTCTCTCTGCCCTTCTCTCTCTCCATCTCTCTTTCTCCTTTCCTCTCTCCTCCCTCCCTTCCCTCCTTCCTTCCTTCCCTCCTTCCTTCCTTCCCTCCTTTCTTCCTTCCTTCCTTCCTTCTTCCTCCCTCCTTCCTTCCCTTCCTTCCTTCCTTCCTTCCTTCCTCCCTCCTTCCTTCCCTCCTTCCCTCCTCCCTTCCTTCCTTCTTCCTTTTCCCTTCCTTCCTTCCTTCCTTCATTCCTTCCCTCCCCTCCTCCTTCCCTTCTCTCTCTCCCTCCCTCCCTCCATCTATCCCTCTATCTCTCTCTTTCTCCTTCCTTCCTTCTCTCTCTGCCCTTCTCTCTCTCCATCTCTCTTTCTCCTTTCCTCTCTCCTTCCTCCCTTCCTTCTTCCTCCCTCCTTCCTTCCTCCCTTCCTCCCTTCCTTCCTCCCTTCCTTCCCTCCTTCCTTCCTTCCTTCCTTCCTTCCTTCCTTCCTTCCTTCCTTCCCTCCTTCCTCCTCCTTCCCTTCTCTCTCTCCCTCCCTCCCTGCATCTATCCCTCTATCTCTTTCCTTCCTTCCTTCCTTCCTTCTCTCTCTGCCCTTCTCTCTCTCCATCTCTCTCTCCTTTCCTCTCTCCTCCCTCCCTTCCTCCCTTCCTCCTTCCTCCCTCCTTCCTTCCTTCCTCCCTTCCTTCCCTCCTTCCTTTTTCCTTCCTTCCTTCCTTCCTTCCTTCCTTCCCTCCCCTCCTCCTTCCCTTCTCTCTCTCCCTCCCTCCCTGCATCTATCCCTCTATCTCTCTCTTTCTCCTTCCTTCCTTCCTTCTCTCTCTGCCCTTCTCTCTCTCCATCTCTCTTTCTCTTTCCCTCCCTCCTTCCTTCCTTCCTTCCTTCCTTCTTTCCTTGATCCCTCTCTCCCTCCCACCCTCTATCGCTGTATCTCTCTCTTTCTCCTTCCTTCCCTCCTTCCTTCCCTCCTTCCTTCCTTCCTTCCTTCCTTCCTTCCTTCTTCTTCCTTCCTTCCTTCCTTCCTTCCTTCCTTCCTTCCTTCCTTCCTTCCTTCCTTCCCTCTTTCCCTCCTTCCTTCCTTCCCTCTCTCTCTTTCCCTCTTTCTTTCTTTCTCTCTTTCTTTCTTTCTTCCCTCTTTCCTATGGGACTCCTGGCCTCATGCCGTCCATAATCTGGTCTTATCTGGAGATGATCACATGGTAGAAGGTCAACCAGGAGAAGGTTCTTCATGCCAACCAGAATCTGGTCTTATCTGCTGATGGTCACATGACATGAGGTCAACCATTAGAAGGTCCTATGGGACTCCTGGCCTCATGCCATCCATAATCTGGTCTTACCTGGAGATGATCACATGGTAGAAGGTCAACTATGAGAAGGTTCTTCATGTCAACCATCATCTGGTCTTATCTGCTGATGGTCACATGACATGGGGTCCACCCATGAGAAGGTCCTATGGGACTCCTGGCCTCATGCCATCCATAATCTGGTCTTACCTGGAGATGATCACATGGTAGAAGGTCAACCAGGAGAAGGTTCTTCATGTCAACCATAATCTGGTCTTATCTGCTGATGGTCACATGACATGGGGTCAACCATTAGAAGGTCCTATGGGACTCCTGGCCTCATGCCATCCATAATCTGGTCTTATCTGGAGATGATCACATGGTAGAAGGTCCACTATGAGAAGGTTCTTCATGCCAACCAGAATCTGGTCTTATCTGCTGATGGTCACATGACATGGGGTCAACCAGGAGAAGGTCCTATGGGACTCCAGGCCTCATGCCATCCATAATATGGTCTTAGCCCTTTTTCCCTCCCTCTTTCTCTCCCCCTGGCTCTCTCTCCCTCCCTCCATCTTTCTTTCTTTCTTTCTTTCCTTTCTTTCTTTCTTTCTTTCTCTCTCTCTCTCTTTCGCTGTCTTTCCCCTTCCTTCCTTAGTTCCTCCCTCCCTCCTTCTTTCCTTCCCTCCTC